GAGTGGTTATTCCTGCTGATGCCTATGCTTACTGTCTGATATTCAGGAAATCCAGCTACGGGTCCCTGCAATGATAGCCCATGGTCGTTCTGTAAATGACAGGCAGCCCCTTGGTCAAGGTCACTAACTGCTTAACTGTCCATTACACCGTACCAGTCAACCTTTCCATTAACAGCCTTTGTGTGGGTCTGCACAGATGTGGGAGAGAACAGTGCCCGTGGGAGCTGGATCGCATACACACGCACCAGCAGAACAGCTTGTGTGACGGTGCACATGTACATAAGAGCATGTCTGTGTACGTGTCAGCATATACATGAAGATAAATATGGACAAGAGGAAGAAAAATGCATTTTTACATGATGAAAGCTTGCTCTAAGTTCAGCATTTTCACAGAAATGGTGATCAAGAAATGAGAGAGAGAGACAAAGAACACACATATTCAACATATTTTATATTTATAAATACATATTCCATTGTCTGCCACTAAAGTATTTTAATACTCCTGAACATTAAAAACAATCATTGTAAAGAGTAAACAAAGAGATTGCAAAACTTCCTGAGAAGAAAGAGAAGAATATCCAACAGTCCATTTCATTTATGATCATAAAAGCTAAAAAGTAATAGTATGCTAATCAACTGGCCATTAAAACATTCAAGCAAACAAAACCCTGAAACTTTCCTGAAACTAGTTCAAATTTGAACTCTTGGAATAAAAAGAGGGGCCGTGTTCCTCTTGCAAAAGTGTCTGCCCTGGGAAGCCTGGCATTCATAAACTTCTATACAGAATGATGTCCTAATTCTGTCATTTCTAACTTTGTTTTTATATGGAAATTTTAGAGGGATGTTAAATTTTGGGAGACTGTGAGAGCTGATCCAAACCCATTTAGGTCCAGGGTTAGCATTTCTGATTTCAAGCATTTTTGGATCAGCCAACCCTCCTGACTTTTGATCAGTCAGAATGGCATCATATAAAATAAAACTGGGGGCAAACCATATTTGATTTTCCTTTTTCCTACCTGGCCATCCTTTCTGTGTCAGCAGTACTTTGATCATCGTCCCACCTAGAAACAAAATAACCAGCTCTCTAAGCTAAAGCAGACGTACTGAGATTTTTTGGACACGAACATCCCCCTCTTTTCTCTCAGCAGAAGAGCTCTACAGAACACGCCTACCTTGCAAACTTTTCCTTATCACCAGAGATTTGATCACCATCATACCTAGAAACAAAAGATAGTAAGTAAATTCACAACGGTTATGCATTGCATGATAGTCAACACACAGCAGAAAGCAAAGAGCTTCACAACTGCAAACTATTACAAATAACAGCAAGAAAAATGGGGGCATGAGAACAATAAAGCAAAGAAAATACAGAGCCTGACGAAACGTCCAAGCCATGCCGATTCAAAAGCTTCATTTGTATATTTTAAAAAGTTGTAGACACATTTCAGTGGATTTATGCAAACACTTTGACATACACTCATTGCTTGGGAAACTTAACAACCAGCACCATTACAGAAAACACCACCGAGCTTTTATCGACAGCAGCCCATGAAATATTCATTGCTGTGTTGGAAGTGGAAGAGCTGTATCTTTTCCAGATTGCAACCGCAACTCACTCCATTCAGCAGAGGGCACTGATGGTCTACAGATAACACGGGAGGGCAGAGACACACGCTGAAGTGCAACGCTTTATATAAGGACGCCTTCGGACACAAGCTCTAGTGGGTACCGACACTGTACTGGCTGCTGGGAAGGCTGGCAAAAGTCAGGCAGGCAGATGAAACTGCCAGATAAATAGAAGTGAAATTAAAACTGGCTTAAATCCCTAGAAGTAAACAGGTACCTCATTCCTATCCAAATCAACAGAACTCAGATGCCCCAATAGGTACATGTGGCACGTTGGTAGCAACTTCACGGAGGAAATCCTGATCAATGGGATGCTTTCGCCCCACGGGATTAAAGCTTCACTGTTTCTGAAGCACTGTCCCAGAGAAAGGCAGCAATGTGACCTTTTACTAAAAAATGGCATGCTGCTCCTCCTTTCCCTTTCCTAAAAACATGCTAATGCTTTGAAATTAGATTTTGCTAGAATAGTTACAAAAAGACACTTTTTTTTGAAAAAGATGTTACTTTTAGAGAAACCAAAATGTTTGTTCCAAAACAGAAAATGTAGGTTTCCAAAAATACAAAAATAAGGCTAGTGGCTTTTCTACAATTTAAGATTATTAATGCTTAAGAATAGTCAAGCGATATTTTGTATTAGAATTAGCATTTCCAAACATTACAACAAAGTGCCTGCGAAGCTATGAAGCTTCCATGTATTAGCCAACAAGGTAATACAGCATAATTAAGCATCTTTTTTCTTCTAAAGAACTAGTAATTCATTTTTTCCTTTTTTCAAATGAATTAAAACTAATTTTAAGTACCTAACTGTGCCAGTTCCTCTATGAGGCTTCATATTTTCCTTCCCCAGTAAGACTCATTCAAACTCTGAAGAGAAAGCTTAAGGAAGACTTGAGCGGTATTTCTTTCTACGTAGCGTTCAACACCAGCACCCTCAAAACATTCAAGTGAAAACGCCACTTTCTTCCACTTGACTCTGCCCAGAGAACAGCCTGAGCCCAAAAAATTGTAAACAAAAAGACAGATTCAATGAGGAATGGCAACATGCCGTTATGTGGGGAGTACATGCATACGCCTTCATGTGAGGATGAGATGCCATGCAGAAGATACCTGAGCTGGCTTGGAAGTCCCTGAGAAGCAAGGTGTGTTAACTCACGTGGAGCACCGTACTAACACCACTACCTCCTGTGCTCCCGCTACCTTGGGACTTGTCTACTCATCCTTGTCTGCTTGGCCGGGCTGAAGCTGTTATTGCCTCCATCTACTCTTTTCGCCCTTCCAGTCTCCCAGCTGACCTCTCCGCATGCACGCTTCTTCAGGCACTCCAGTCAGAGCCAGCTGGGTTAGCTTAAACATTTAAACAGCAGTTCTCTGCTAACCAAGTAATTTTGACCAAGACAAGCTAGGAATCAGACACGTGAGCAATTTGGAGAAGGGAAAAGTCCTAAAAAGAGGGTACAACTAGAAGAGGATGCCTGAACATGGCCCTGGGCATCTCTGCACTGTTTTTCTGTACTCTCTAAAAGCAGAACAATCTGGGGTTTTACAGCATTTAAGATTTAAGTATCAGATTTTGATCTGAAATCTAAAATTAACTGAGTTTAAGCACAGCATAGCTTACTTCTCCAGTAAAAATAATGGAACTATTGGCTCACTCCACCATCAAACTTTGAAAGGCTGAAGCCAGGATGGAGACAGACCAACACACGCACCTCAAAACCCTGATGCTTATGCAGGCGCGAATCGGGTCACATTCATCACAGACCGTGTTCCCTTAACACGTATCTTCCAACAAACATTAGGACTAGCCCTCAGATCGTCAGTTTTAACCCCAGAGATGGGAATATCCTTTCCGTAAATGACATCAGCTAAACGGGGTGCTGCTGGTCTTGTCCAGCAGGTTACGACACAGTGCTACGACACACCTTTGGCGTACTTATCCTTCAGCCTGACTAGGAAGATCTTGTTAAAACCCTATGGTGACAGCTGTGTTTGAACACAGCTGCGGCTACAGAGCTGCAGTTACAATTTGGATAACCAGCAGTTATCTGTAGGCCTCAAAGCATCTACCCCTCACTGCAGCTGCTCAGTTTCTCATGAAAAAAATGCAAACAGTGTGACCAGAAAAAAAGGAAAAGTGAAAAAATGGCAATGACGCTTTAATGTTTGTTTTTGTTTCTAGCCTAGAATATTCCACATTAATTAATATTTATTTTGGCAATTTTTACTCTTCAGTCACACCTAATGGTACATAATGAGCTTTAATCTGAAAAAAAACAATCCACACCTCTAGGATCTGTCATATTGTCTTAACAAGCAGTTAACATCTGAAATAAATTCAAAATAAAATTCATTTTCAGTGGGAGAAAGACAAGTTCAGCAATATCAAATAACCAAAGTTGATCTACAGCAGTTTATAGCTAAAAATCACAAATTTTCTCATTTGACATAGTTTGCAGAGCGAAATCATGACACATGCACTGTCAGCTTTGTAAGCCAATAACTACATTAGGCAGATTTCTGCCAGGATGCCTAATTTGCAAAGGAAGGCGATAAAAACAGTAACTAGAATTTAGGTCACGTTGTTGGCAAGTTCTTCAGCCCATGTTCATTTTGACTTGAAAACATCAGCAATGAGACGGCTGTCTTTCTCCACTGAAGGAAGTCAGCAATTTGGCCAACTCTTTGTAAATGCTCACCTTGAAAATTTGCTGGGCCCCTCCCCATCTTCGTCATCGAAGTCCATTCTGTAAAAGCAAGATTTCCGAATCAGTAACCATGATGATGGCAATGGTGATGTGAACATGCAAGCCAGCGGTTCTCAACCTTGTTTGATTTATATTTTGACCGGAGGTGTTAACAACTGCAGATTCCAGTCTTGCTCATATTCTCCAGATCCCCTAAAAGTAGCTCATCAGCTGCCAGGAATACAAAGAATACAAGTTTTTTTAAAAATTGAAATAATAAATGACTCTTCTTCTCCACAGAAATCTGCACTGTTAAAATTAATAAATAAAAGGAAATATTAAACAAATGCAGTTCTCGTGAGATGGTCAGAAGTAATATCTCTTAGGCTCGACAGAAGTTCACAGAAGTCAGCGGGGACTCTATATTAGAAGACTGAAATTCAGGCTAGAGAAAATAAAGTTCTAAAGCGGTACAGATAATAAACACCAGGCCACTATTTTTGCCCCAGTCTAAAGAAAGCACGCTAGAGGCAGAGCAGAATAAAGCCCCAGCCTCGGGGCTAAGAGGATTATCTACATCACCGCCACTGACTGTAACTGCGGTACATTCGTCAGACTTGCCCTGTATTACCAATCATTTCACACAAATCACCAGCCAGTCTGCAGATGGCAACTACTTTGCAATATTCCTGTGGCCATTACAAAAACGACCTATGGGTCTACTGTGCACCTAACTTACCTGGTTTATGTCACAGACCTTCTTCTTAAGTCAGCGGAAGAGACGAGCTCTTCCTTGGGCCAAATCCCAGCCCTCCGGTTAGGCTCCTCCAGGGAGCCACAAAATGCAGGAACCTCTTTCTTCGTTTCTAACACAGAGAGACTAGGAAGATTAACTTCCTAAATTAGCCACCTAAATTAGTGTGATTGTCTCCTTCCCACTGATATTAAGTCACTACAAAGTTATGCAATAGTATAATTGCCAAAGCATTTTATACATTTTTATACCTTTAAAAAGAGGTGGACAAATACATAGCCCAATAATAAGGGGGTGACTCTGCCATTAACGCAAATTAAGAACCAAGCTGATATAAAATTATCATATACAATTACTGTATTGGTGTATTTAATAAGAAAAAACATTAGTATGATATACAGACCTCGATCAGTCACTCAAATGTAATTCGTGTAGACAGAAAAATCATAGTTTTGTTTTGAAAACAATTTTGTCAGGTGCTTTAGCAGTCTAAGCTTTCTAGTATTTCAGTGTAAAAAATTTCTACAATTACAGATTCCACATTTCTAACACTCTTCATATTAATTACAGATACAAGTCATATTAAAGGCAAAACCCACGCACAGTTGACATTATTTATCTCAGTATTAAAAGAAACCCCTGCCAATTAAAAATTAAGATTGGTACATTCAGAGCGTGGCAGCAATGACGTAAAAACGCTCTTTAAAACTACATCAGCATAGAGAAGTATGAGTGCCAGGCAGGCAATACCACCTTGCCTCCTACCTTTGATAACCAGAGAGAAACGCATTTTCCCCAAAGATGAGTATTTAATTGGTTAAGTTTGCTGCAATTGTCATTTTCACTATAAATTAATTTTTGCTCACCAAATCCCGTTTCAAAGTCCATGACCTCTCAGCACTTGCACAGAACACCACCGACCTCCAGCGGCCAGCGCCACGGGCCAGCAGCTAAGCCGGGACCCAGCCTGTCGACCCCAAACGTGGCCTTCAGCGTTGGCACCAGCAGCCTGAATTTCCCCAGACCCGCTGCACATTCAACACCCCCAGCAATTTAATACTCGTGTATTACCACCTAGCCGAAGGTCTCCTCTCACCTACCTGCTGCTTCTCCGCATATAACGACGTGCCTGTAGGTGACACCCCAGAACAAACTTCCCAGTCGGTTCAATTGCAAGTGTTTCTACCTACACCGAAAACGTGAAAGCCAAAGGTACCGGAGAGCTGTTTGGTTTACAACTCAGGCCAGCTCTGGGCTGGCTCCACCTGAAACCTCTGCAAAAGCATCACGTCACCGGCTTCACTGGCAACTGAAACGCAGCTGAGCAAAACCTCCAGTTTCAAAGTTGGGGGATAAGGGCAGAAGAAAATACATACGCCTACAGTGGAGAAAAGCTGCCTCTTCAAGGATTTAATAAGACATTGCTTTAATTTGCGATGGATTAATTTTGTAATTCCTTTTTTTCTTCTCCGATACACTGAGATCTCGTGCCTTGGTGGATTTTCTTAGCTTCCAGGCAAATGCTCCACCTGAGTGCCAAGAGATGGATTTCCCCCCCAAAATCAAATATTAGCTCTACTGCATTTAGCTTATTATAGCCGGAATATAATGCAGAGGATTACAGAGAACCTGATGACAGTTTAGGGCTGATCCTGCTGCCCGCGCTGTACACCTACTCCCAGAGGAACAAGTGGGACTAGCGCACCTATTTATCTAGATGGCTGGCTATTAGCTTCTCATCGTGTAAGATCTTGATGGGTTAATATCCATAGGTGATACCTACCCCATTTATAATGGGCTCATCACGGCAGAACCTGAGCGCCTAGGGTGCAACACCAGACTGGAACAAACTAAATCTTAAAATAACAACTTTGCTTTGTTAAGCTACCTCAAAACCTTGATTTTATTCCAAATGCAAGATTATAAAAAAAATTAAGAAACTGAAAATAAAATTCATTAAAAATATCAATACTTGTAAAAATGTAACAGCAAATACATCTCTGTCCCATCGTTGTTAATAAACACGTTTCCTAATTTCACATGTCACTGTGCAAAATGACAAAACCCTTTCAAAACCTGAAAAAAGAATCTCGGGTCTGAAGTCATTGATTCCAATGTCCTGCCTGAACCACCGTGTCGGCTTTACAGCAAGGCAGAGTGAAAGATAGGGAGTCAGTTGTAACCTTTAGCAGAACACATAAAAATAATATTCCAACAAACTCCTCATACCCTGACAGATAAGATCTTCTGTTCAGATAGAATATATTGCACATTAGCAAAACAGTAGAGGCAGCCTCCAAGACGACAAATGACATCATTTCAGAAGTTTCAGAAAGAATATCTTTTATCTTCATTTAAAATTCCCATTAGAAAGAGACTTTAAAAAAAGAGCTGCACTATGCTCTTTTGTTTTGAAGAGACAGCATAAATCTTGTTTTCCTCTTTCATACTGTTCATGTCAATCATGAAAAGGCCTGAAGTATAAGGTACTTATTAAAATATATTTTCCTCAAAAGATGTGTGGGTACCATAAACACCATGACAAAAATATTTTTTAAAAGAATATTTATTTTTAATTAGAAACACCTCCATACCAAAAAACCCTCCGACAAGTCAGTCCTGCACAGGTTAAAAAATTGAGATGGGAGAAGATTTGAACGTTGCACCAAAATGATTATGCAAAATGCCCAAGAAATGTCAAAAGATGGCTGGCCACGGTTATGCAGTGTAGGAAGGGGGCAGGCAGGACGGAGCAGGAGCAGCCGAGAGGCAGACGGGGATCTGTACTACAGCCCTTCGTGCCGTGCAATATCGGGGGGTACACCGGGGAGGGAGGCTGGTGGGCTCTGCTCTCTTCCTCCCCATATCTTACAGTTCTGGGTCAGAGAAAAGACCAGACCATAGGCTGAACTGAAACAAACCCAACGCATCTGTAAACCAACCAAAAAAGCCCACCAACCCTCCCTCTCCAAGTACAGATAACTTAGGAAGGTAAAAAAGCCCCATATCCTCTAAATCGGCAAAGCCTAAAGAAAAACCACGTTAAAGAAAGAACTGACGTTACATTAAGGTAGTCACTGACCACTGCAGCACATTATCTTACGCGCTGCTAGGCCATCACCTTTTTCTATAAAGTACTTGGTATAACTTATAGAAAGGAAAAATATTTTTACAAGCTGTCAATGAAGCTGAATGCCGACATGGCAGAAACACCTTCGGGATAGCCAATGAGTTTAAACTGATCTACATTCACATCCATACAGCAATTATTCTGCCAGCTTGCCTCAGCAATTATGAGAAAAGAAACAATTTTCAGAGATAACCGAAGCTGGAAAAGATGACTGTGTTCACCAGCTACATTCCTTTATGTTTGACACAAAGCATTCATTTCTAAAATGCCCAAGGATTTAGGTGTACAAAGATGTATCACCAGGACAGTAATGAAAGGACCAAGTGTTAGTTGCAACTTTGTTCAAAGAGAAGCTAGGAGGAATTAGACACAGCAGGCATTCTTTCCCTCAAGGTCTGAATAAATACACACTGAACAGAAGAGAAAAAAAAAAGCACCCTCAGTTCAGGCTTGGAGAAGGGCTATTAGTTTAAAGCTATGGTGCACAGATAAAATACCACCGTCTGGGTATAACGGCAAAGCTACACTAGCTTGCTAACTGAATCAGCATTCAATACATATACAATAATTTGATTTTATGTTCCTCCCACCCTCTCCCCTCTCCACTTTCTTGCAGATAGATGATGATAGTTAAAATGCAATGGTTAAAGCATAGTTTTCAATTAAAATCATCAGTATTCAATATAATCAGAAGATTTCACAGTCAGCAGCATCAAACTTTCTAACAGTAACTTGCAAACTGGCATTCACCGTTTACATTGTTTATGATCACCTATCCCACAACTCAAAAGTACAAACGGTAATATTCGCTATGTAGCAACAAAAAGGTGTTAACCCTTTGTTTTCTCTTTTGAGTGCAAGTTTGAACAGGCTCTTCACTGAGCAGTTTCAAAATAAAATTTGCCTGTCAAAGGTAAACTTCAGGAGTTTCTCAGAGCAATTTCCTACAGTTAGCTCAGCATGTGGAAGCACACTCAGTGGAGATAATCTCCAAATTGTCCTGTCCAAAGGAACCCCCTCAGAACCACCATCCTGAGTGTTCACGTCACTCCACATCCAAGGCAAGGTCCACCTTCTCCCTCCTTAATTCAGTTCAGGACTGAGACTCCAGCACTGTTACTTGAGCGGACACCTAGAACAGACAACACACCTCGGGGAACAACCCCAGAGCAGCTCTGACAAGGAGTAATGTCTTCTCCTTAGGTGTCCATCAGTGAAGATTTTACTCACACTATTGATCCTGTGAAGCCCTACCACTGTCACATTTAGGGCTAAATATGAGACTAGTGAATCTCTTTTGCAGGCACTCCCAGATCAGAAAGATCTCTGAGAAAGGATGACCTAAAGACCGTTATTTGTGATCAGCCTTGGATAAAAACAGGGGGGTTTGGTTAATACTAGAGCAGCTTTCTGCCCTTCTGCAGCTCTTCCCACACTTTTCTTCTAACACAGAGGATTCATACGAGTTGCCACAGAACAATCCGATGTGGAAAAACCATCCCTACACCACACCGACCTCTGCAGTTGGATAAAACAAATTTTCTTTCTAGCAAAACCCTCAGCTAGTGCAAGGGCTGAACTTGATTTAGGCCGTTCCTCCCAGAACTGGAGAGACTACGCTGCATTTCCAGCATGGCCTAGAATATCATAGACCGCGACCTCCGAAGAGTGACTGCTTGTGCTATTTCTGTACCTGGGACTACAAAGAAAGCATTTTTAACAGAAGGCCTCTATTTGAGAGATTCCAAGCCCCGACTTCAGATGAAGTTGGATAAATCTGCATGTGCAAGTAAGAACACATCTTGCTACCTTTATTCACATGATAAGTCCTTCTGAGATCAAACAGATGTAGGCAACACGCGTTCATTACACGTACAACAGCCACGGGATCGGGATCCAGACTCCGTTTCTGGATGCTTTGCCAAACCTGAAAGTCTTTTGAAGTATGCAAAACAACAAACAACATGCTTATCAGCAAGTTTGATCTTGCAGGAAGAGCAGATACATTGAAGAGAAAAACAAAACATCAGTGACGAATGCCACAGTGTAGCTTAAATACATAAACATTAAATAATAAACATACACATATAGGTACATTTTCAGTTTTTCAATACCAGTCATTTCCAGTTTCAGACCTGGGAAAAAAAAGCAAAAGGGAAAAAAGGGAAAAAAGGGAAAAAAGGGAAAAAAGGGAAAAAAGGGAAAAAAGGGAAAAAAGGGAAAAAAGGGAAAAAAGGGAAAAAAGGGAAAAAAGGGAAAAAAGGGAAAAAAGGGAAAAAAGGGAAAAAAGGGAAAAAAGGAAAAAAAGGAAAAAAAGGAAAAAAAGGAAAAAAAGGAAAAAAAGGAAAAAAAGGAAAAAAAGGAAAAAAAGGAAAAAAAGGAAAAAAAGGAAAAAAAGGAAAAAAAGGAAAAAAAGGAAAAAAAGGAAAAAAAGGAAAAAAAGGAAAAAAAGGAAAAAAAGGAAAAAAAGGAAAAAAAGGAAAAAAAGGAAAAAAAGGAAAAAGGCTTACCCAGAGCGGCGCTTTCCTCCTCTGGAAGGCATGGATCCTGCCATTCGCACTTGTCCACTTGCCATTGGTGCCACCGGCAAGGCCACCGAGCCAGGAATATCTGATGCCATTTCTGTAATTGAAAGAGGAGGAAAAAAAAATTCCTTTAATCCATTACCTTCAAGGAGAAACCTGGGATGACAACATTAGAGAAAGGTCCTTTCAAAAATAAACTTTTTATTTCTAAGGAAAAGCAAAGCTGTCCTATCAAAGACCAGCAGATTCACAGCTCCCTTTAAAGAATCCCAGTTCTGTCAATAGCCATTACAAGTGCCTCAGGAGACAGAGAGAATCGCGGGTAGGTACCTCTGTATTTCAATTTACCTAATGATTCTAATTTTACTTCTCAGAGGGGCCGTCAGATGAAGGCCAACAACCTTTTACAACAGTTAAACTGCCCTGTGGAGAAACGCAGAGCTGAATTCCCAAGGAGAATGAAGGCTGCGGATCATGGTACCAAGGCACCAAGAAAAATAAAACTCCAAAAACTTCTCAGTTTTCCAGTGAGGTCAAGAGTTTAGAGCAGGCATGAATTATTAGGTGACACTGGGGTTTATTATTTATATTCTGGTGGCATTCAGAGGACAAGACTGAACTTAGCAGAGCTCCAAGGCTTCTGCATTTCCGCGTGGTCCTTGCAGACCAGAACCGAGCTCGAAATCCAGGTTGATGTTCATCCCTCTGCCAGTGCTCTGGGTATCGCCACAGGTTAATGAGATCTTCAAACCTCAAAACTTTGATCTGAGGAACAGCAAGAGCACACCTTACGCAACAGTTTTCAGACCCCTAACGGCAAGAATTTTTACCACCTATTAATAACAGTCCATTACACTTCAACAAAGAAAAGAGGAATTTAATATATTTATACCCTTTTCTCCTATCCCATGGATTAAGCATGTTTTGCCTCTGTGCAACTCTCGTAAACTATGCAAGCAATTAAAACTTTTTTAATGCGGATATACTTTACTCACTCTGGAGGTAAAATCTACAGTCACAACATTTAATTATCTTGAAAGAAAATGCATCCTCCTTCCAACTATTTTTTTTTTTTTTTTTAATTTGGCAGGGTATCTGGAGCTACAGAGAAATATATTTACTAATGGAAAGCAAATCTGTTAAAAACTCCTGCTATTTTTTCCCAACAGATAAGTACAAAAGAACTTCAAATACGGAAACAGGAATCCATGTTCTTTCATCGTATCTGGACAGCACTTCATCTCTGCCACACTTTATATAAATCCATTATGCAACATTATGCATTTCAAATAATAACATTTTATCTGTTCACTGATTTCATGAATTTCTTCTAGTACATTTACTTTTATTAACTCCTTTTCAACTAAAAAGCAACAGAGCAAAGTAAACATTCAATATTTTTCAACAGTGTGCAAGGACAAACAATGAGACCTCTGCCTACAACACCACACCACAGAAAGTCCTGCTGTGCCTAAAGCTGCTGCTATGTGGAAATTAATGTATAGTAGCCTATTTTCATACAAATGAAAGTATGAGCATCCAAACAACTAGTCAATTACTATTTCCAGAATAAGTACCCTTAGCAGCCTAATGCCAATAATTCACTTGGAACATTCAAACTCATATTTCACGGATAGAACCAAAGGTCATTTTGAAATACTCTCCTCACTCATTTATTAAAGCAGATCGCAAAATCCATAATAAATCTACCTGCAAAGCATCCCTGTCACTCAGAAACACATTTCAGTATAGATCATCAAGGAGATAACTTTTTTTTTTTAAAAAGTAGTAATTGTAAAACAATTTCAGATCAACTCTGAGCAGTATTTTAAGAGAGTGAAAACAATACCGTACTGGTAGTTGTGATGAGAAATTCTTGTAACCTCATTTTCCTCAATCTGAAACAATGATGAAAAACCAGGCCTAGGATTGCATTCATCTACTCTTAAAACTCTAAAGCTAATTATTTAAGGTAACTTTATAGAAAGAACCATCCTGGCACTACTGTACCTCCCATGCTTAGAGGTCCATGCAAAATAGGGTGAGTAAACCTCTTTCTACAGGTCCCTTGCTCTTGCCACTGACAACTCAGGGAGACCTAGACAGATAGTTCGGATCAGATGTCCAATTTAGATGGTTGTGCCTGGGCAGAATGAGTTGGTTTTCTGCTCTTATGTTCAGCTTCTAACGTATGAAGACATGAGAGGCAAGGGTAGTTAGCAAGTTTCTAGTAGTAAGGAAAAACAGCAACTGTGTATTTCTTCTAAGAAAAAAGAAAAAAAACACCCAAAGGCTAGAGGAATGGCCAAACCACTGTTCAAAAATACCTGAAAGAAGACATTCTGCAAGAAACACATCATCTGTCTATCAGGGTATAAGCTGAAGAGCTACTGTGTAGGTATCTTCAATCTCTAGAATGGGACCTCAAAACCAGAGCAATGAAGTAACTTCTTACATAAACAGCCTTCAAATATGTCTTCACAGTCCTGGGAGAATGAAACCACGCTCATTGAGCTGACTGTTCCAAAAGGATGTCTTCATAAATTTCCATTCTAAGATATAAGCACAAGCAGAAAAAAAAACTAAAAAAAATCAGGGGATCCACCCACATTAATCCACGTGAAAGCTCAGCTAAGAGGGAGGAAAGCTTCAGGCCCTTCAAATCAGAAGATTTTCCTTTATGCAATTGTCTGAAGGTGTGACAGACATGCACCTATATCAATGCGTAAGATACTCAATTTACCTTTCCACTTCAGAGTTTCTCCTGTCAAAGAGACACCAGTCATTGCGAGACCTACTGCAGCTTTCATAAGACCCTTGAGGGTGGACATACACTGCTAACAAAAGCAGTCAGCTTTCCACAATTCCTTTCCTGACGCAACAGAATCAGAGTTCTGCAGATGGAGAAACTGGGAAGGTTGGGTCTCTTTCAAACCCCATGGCAAATACAGCAAAGAAACCAACTCAAAGGGCAACACACCACCGCGGAGCATGGAACACCCAGAACCTGACCTGCCCCAGCCAGAGCAGCAGCGGAGCACCTCTCACACAGTCTCGGTGTACAAACAGCGACAACAGAGCACTACAGGAGGACTTCGGGGATGGAGCTGATGGTGACCTCATTGCTCAGCTGCAGCCAACGGGGCGTTGGAAGCCGTATCAAAGTCGGATGGTTGCGCAGAAATACAAGCGCTAGGTTGGAACGGAGCAGCTCCCTGCTGCAAGCTGCAGGAACTTCTGCGGAGACGATGGAACGGATCTGAGCTGCTTCCCAAATTAATTCCGTCTCTACCCATCCGCAATCATCTAAAAGGACCAGATCTTTGATGGTATTTTTACATTTGTAAAAAAGGGCTGGTCAGAAAAGTAGAAATACGTTATCTCAAAAAATGAGGGCCAACCTGGGAAGACAGAGGTAAAATCTGATGGAACAGTCAGCTGCTTCTCTAAGCACCTGAGAAGTTACCTGTCTGTGCGTGCTCTGGGAAGAAAACAAGAAAGACTGAGGAAAAAAAGACACATAGACTTGAATCTCAGACAGAAATGTTGGGGTAGAGAGGTACTCGAGGGAGCCTACTACCATTAAAAAAAGGAGGAAAAAAAAAAAAAAGCAGTCTGCATGAGACACAGACCTAAAGAAAAAAAAAACAATCAGAAGGAAAACCTGCAATTGTGTGAAGTTACATCAACATGAATTTAGGGCATCCCCTTGAAAGTAAATGAAGCTATTCTGTTGTAGCATAAACCAGAGCAGGTGTCAAGCTGGTTACATATATTAAAAAAAAAAAAAAAGACACATGCTGGGTCAACAATCATAAAGATCATGTTTCCAGGCTCATCTACACCCACGCCCAGACAGATGTTAACACTGATGTTCACAGAAGTGTTTCAGCAGCAATGAACATTTAGAAAACAAGCTGTTCTCTTTCTGAGATTGGACCTTCTGAGAGTGGACTTTCCTTCTGCCAACAGAAATAAAACAAGTGTTGCTTACTTTACCCAAAATTAAAACATGAGCATAAGGGTATAATGTTCAGAAAGTAAAACAAGGTCAGGCTGTATGTTGATGAAAATCATCTATAAGCATCAAGGCAGTGTTCTAAAAAAAAATAATTTAAAAAGTTCCTTAGTGTCACATAAAACCACTTTTCTGCTGTAAAAACACAGGCAGTATTTAATTTCAAAGTTAGAAAGTTACCTAGAGATCTGCCAAAGAACACTGAAATGCTATTAAAATAAAATCCAGCAGAACACTCACAATCTTTAGTGGATACCCTTCCAGTCAGATGAGACCTAACAGCTCTCGTATCACCATTGTCATGCCTCGGCGCGGGCCTGATCCTGCCACTAATATGCCTCTTGGGGATCCCTGAGGAGCCACACTAATCCAGGGACAATGTTAGTGCTCAATATAAAAGCAGAAGAATTAGTCCTTCCATTTCTGTCCAGAATTAATTTCACTGCTGAACACTCCAAGCTTGGATATTACACTTTCCTCCAGCATTACATGTAGGTCACCCCCCCAAAATATTCAGGGATCTTTTTGAAATAAAAGACAATCTGCAAATGTACATTAAAAATATAGGGATGAAATAAGAGATTTATTCCCAATAAATTCCATGTTCATCTCAAACTTTCTCGTAGAGATCTGCACAAAAACCAGCTACCGTGCACTTCACAAAGCAAACCACAAAAAGCAAGCTAAATGCTGCACAAGGACGCCTTGAAAGGGCGCGTGAACCGCAACCACAGCAAGAATTACTGGACAGTGCAACACCCCAGGATGAACCTGGACTTCTCTTTTTAGGCAGAGAATTATTAAACACGGTTCTCAAGCCCCAACTTCAAATCTCAAGCCCCATCCCAGATCCTCCACCTGAAACGCAGCGCTAACTCATCTCTGAGAGGAATTTGCAACTTGCCGAGACACCCCCGGAGAAGCGCAGCTCTTTGGCCAGGTATCTCCACAGCCTGCATCGCACAGCTCCGGAGATGGTGTTTCCTGCTCTGCTCCTCTCCAGAAACCACAGCCATACATCTCGCTGTGAAG